GATGGTAGCTGTCAAACCTGTTCTGTTTTGTGGTAGAGAATTAAATGGATAAAAAAGATCATTCTTTCTTTTGATTTTTGGTATTATTTGGTCTTATTAGTAATGTTCTTCAGATGTCGTACTGTTTAGCTATTAATTTCTTAGAGCATGGTACAGGCCCAAAACTTGTTTCAATCGCAGCTCGCACTGCTTAGCAAAGCTTGAGAAAGTGACTAAATGGTGGGTGCTTTAGTGAGCGGAAGAAATTTTACACGGGAATATTGGGAAGGCTAAGCAACTGTTAGTAGTTATGCAATGAGTTGATCTAATTCTACTGTCTTATGCAGTAAGTTATTTCTTTACTTTGTTACTCCGCAGTTCTGATACCTGGCTAAAGTTGAAGGCTAAAACAGCAAATTTGAAGTGGATCCTTTTTTCATCAATATAACTTCTGCTTTTATGAATCTCGCGTGCATTTCAAGTTCCATCTTCATTTCAGGATTAGAGTAAATTAGTTGGAGTAACCTGATTGCCTATAATAGTGACTGTTTGAAAGAGGTGAGGGTTACAGTTTTTTATCGCTCGGAATTGTTCAATTAGAATTTATGTTATCATTTGTGCCTTCCTACCGGCATTGGTTTTTTTCCTCATAGATATTTTCGAAGTTGCGATGTTTTTAAATAATTTTAACTACCTGTACATAGGCGTTCGTGAACTTTTTATCGTCACTATGCTTTGATGGTCCTTGTACTTATAATAGTTTTTTTCCTAATTCTTTTACTTAGTTACATTGCTTTCCAGTTTTTTACACGGGATTTTTCTTATTTGCCTGAGTAGTCTGTAGGTAAATGCAATTAGGACTGGATTTTACTCTGGTTATTGTTGCGCGGTTATTTTTTACAGCGTGAACTGCATTGAGCAGTGTCATTCGCAACAGTGACGTCACCCTTCGTTTTTTTTTCCAAACTTAAACTAAATTGCAAGAGATCAAGAATGCAAAGAGTAGTAGAATTCGGGGTATTTTCAGAATGTTTTACATTAATTTCGCTTACTAGAATCCCGAAACACTTCCAAGTTTGTAATTACAATCTCCTAGATAAGGGGAAGACATTAACATCGTGGCAGAGTTAATTTACGGTTGAACCACTGAGAGCGATTGCTTTTGAGTCTCATTTCTGCAAACCAGTTCACTCTTTTCGCGAATTTTCTTATCTTTTCATTCCTGTCTCTGTTTCTGTGTTTCTGGATTTTGTGGTGAGCACGTCGTTACTGCAATCCCTTGACTTTTGAGCTAAAAGTGCCGTTTCCAGGTTTTTTAAAATCACATTGCTGGTGAAATCTAAAACATAGGTTGTTCTCAGTTAACATCAAAAGTCCCCACTTACTTCCTGTCATACAACGCCCCTTCGATATTTGGCTGAAGACGGCAAGTATCAGGATATTGTGACTGGTGGGTATCTAACAATTTTTAAGCATGAGGTTCTGTTTGGATTTTTAGGAATAATATATTATATATTGCTTCTTTTCTTGTTAGGACTTCATTTTTATTTTCACAGGGGAGATGACGTCGAAGCAGAGTGAAATTAACAGCATTAACTCTTCCGATAATAGATCAGTTCTGAAAAACGTTGTCAATGTCAAAGCAAAAGGGTTAAAAGTTAGAGAGAATAGCAGGGATGAAGAGATTAACCGGAAGGAGACCGATGAAAACGTCTTTATAAAGCCAAAAGCAAGTCATTTTTGCAAGGTTTGTAACTGAAACTTATTTTTTTTTACTTCTCCAAATATTGACATTCGTTTAGCGGAAAGTGCGAATGAATGCTTTATTTTCGATTAAAATCGCTTTCAAGGTACTTAATTTCTTTTATTAGTAAGCTGAACTCATAGAAATGGATGGTTTATTTTGTTATTTAGAAGAGAAGTTTTCTTAACGATTTCAGTCAAATCAGAGGCGACCTTCCGCTGTCATCACCGATCCTCCTAAACCAACGTTTGCAGTATACTGCGATGATGAAGCAGCTCAAGATGGATATGATGCAGAAGTACGTTGTTATTGTTTTTCTATGCATGTGTAAAATTGACATATTTAGTAAGATATTTGTTAGAAGGTATAATAATATGTAACAAGGAATTGTCTTTTTGTTTACTACTTCACATGTATGTTTAGATTTATCGAAATCCTGTAGAAGGGCCAGCTCAAGAATCGCATCCCATCGATTTCTCAGACTGGCATGGGAAGAAGGACAAGAGCGTAGGTTTAAATGTCTAAGATCGATTTTATGGATTTTTCGATGCAGAACAAGAAAAGTATTTCAGTTATAAGTTTTCACTAAGAGTTTTTTCAGGAAGATTCTGAAGCTACAGTATCAAAAGTTTCACTGTCAGAAGAAACTTTTAATGTCGCAAACGAAGGAGAGCGTGGGATTTTTAGGATTGGCTGCGATGAGGATGATGATGACGACGAAGTTTTTCTTTCGACTGTTGAGGACGAATCAACTGCATTTCATACGGCACAGCATATACCAGATAGGGTAATACTTTATTCTTCGCGTTTGGCAATCTCTACTCTAATTCCAAAGTAAAAAAGGCTTTTAATTTTAAGTTGAAAATTCAACCAGAACCGTTCTGTTGTCACCCTGATTACGACAGTGACATTTATTCCTACATGAGAGATCGGGAAGTTCAAGTACGCCCGAGTTCGCACTACCTTCACAAGCAAACAGATATTACTTCAGAAATGCGATACATATTGATAGACTGGCTCGCAGATGTAACGGAAGAGTATGGCCTTTCGCTAGTACGTTCAGAAGTGAAATTCATTTTTCAAAACAATTTGGAAGGCTTAAGCGTTGTTTTTTTTAATGAGAAAGAGTCGCTATTTTCTGGCTTTTTGTTGTAAGATTGGTCTACTAGGTTGGGGACAACTTTCAGGAATGTTTACACCTGGCTGTCTCTGTTGTTGACAGAACTCTTTCTGTATTATATTGTCCGCGTTTAAAATTGCAACTTGTCGGCGCTACATCGATTATGATAGCAGCGAAGTTTGAAGAAATTTTCCCTCCTGAATTAAAGGAATTTGTTTATATTACAGATGATACTTACAGCGGTGTCCAGGTTCATTTCTTCTCAAAAAGAAATGTTGTATATAAAATAACTATTTTTTAATTGTAGGAAGTTACAAATTATTCATCTCTTCTATCCATTTGTCTTTTTTAAATTTTTTGTTATTTTTGGTTTTTAGATTTTGCGCATGGAGAAAGTGATTTTAAGCACCCTTTGTTTTGAAATATCAGCTCCTACCTCAAACTGGTTTGGCTCAAGATTGGTTCGGAAGGCGCATTCTGATGAACAAACTTCCCAGCTGATGCATTACCTGTTAGAATTAGCTCTCTTAGACTATCGTTACTTGCAGTTCAGATCTAGTGTTCTGGCCTGTGCTGCATTTTCTCTTGCGAATATCATCATTGGAAAAATCCCTTGGCAGCCAGTAGAGGCAGATACAGGTAAGGCTGGTTCTTTTTTGTGCCAAGTTTTTGACGCTTTGGTAATTCGCAAGAAGAAAAAACCTACTTCCAACATGTTATTCTTCACTCTTAGGAATTTCGCTGGATGAAATACGTGAACCCGTACGTCAACTTCTTAGTTCCTTCACAAAGGCACCATATTCGGAGCACAAAGCTGTCTATGAGAAATACTCTGATGAGAAATATAGAGCGGTTGCCTGTTTATGTCCTCCTAACCTTCTCCCATTTAACTGATTCCTATTAAAGCCTCTGCTGCCAACTCTTGTACAGTTAGTTAGGTTCACTGCGTGAGCTAAAATAAGTTTCTCACAATTTATTAGACATTTTTTTGTAGTGATTGTAATATGGACACACTGTGTTCATAACTTAAGTTTTTTAAACTGGAACGTCGTTTCTCCATAATTTAAGTTTTTTATTAGAATGCTCCTGAGTTGTAGTTCACACATCCACATGAAGTCTTAAAGCTGCCTTATGGGAATAGGCTGGTGTCGGGAGGTTGGAGAGTTATAAAAAATTACGAAAGCTTTGAATGGGGGTTGAATAAAAATAGCATATCAGTTTAATGTAATTTATCAGTTTTATTTTTGTTTCTGTTTATCAAGTCACAGTTTAATTGAGCTTCAGTTACAGCTAAAAAAATGCAGCTGTCTTACTTCATACGGTTGCGTGGCTCACAATTCGGGTTTTTTATTTGCAGACTTTATGAATACACCACGTTTTTATGTCATGATTGTGTTTTAACCTCAATTTCTTGCTGTGCCCTTCCGTATTATTTAATTAAGTCCAGCTGGATATCCGTTTATTGCTATCTCCAAGGGTCTGTATAGATAAATAAATTTTGCCTAGTTTTATAATCCAATGCTTATTCTTCTTTAGGAGCTTTCGTTTGGCAGAACACTTATAAGTACTTTTCCAGCTAAGTCATCGCCTCTGCGGATGTGTCTCGATTTCCAATTTCCTTGAAAACATGTGCGAGAGGTCATCACTTGATGTGAGTTACAAAGTTTCCATATTGTAAATTGTTACTTATGCTGAAAACAGGAAATTTACTACTGTTGGCTGGGTCTGTTCACTCACTGTCTCTTACACACTGCGGTGTACTTCTTTAGAACAATCGGGAGCGTCTGCTGTACCTTAAGAGTCGTTTTAAATAAAGCATCCGTATAGGTCCTCTTAAAGCAAAATTCATAAAGGCTTTTAGAAGCATGGTCTACTCAAATCACGTTTGCTGGTAGACTCCAACACCTGAATACGTTAAGGAGCTGCGAAGAGAATGTGATTTGTGACACAGGAAGTAGGACGAAGTTTTGAGAGGTAGAACCTGTTATGAAGCTACGAATTAAGCTGTCACCTTCCGAGCGCTCTGCACTTGCTACCGCTCGAGAATGTGGCTCAAAAAGAATGGAACCGAAGAGGTTGCGGTGGATATGGTGGAGGAGTAATGTCCTTTTTGCATGAAGATCTCAGGATTTGGGTGGGAAATGGAAGAATAAAGTTGGTGATTTACATTTCACGCTATACCTTTCTTGTGTTAGAAGACACTGCTAAGTGATCCGGTTCACTCTTAAAACAGTGGTCAAAAGCTGCACTCACTGCAGCATTGTTTGCTACGAGACTGCTCAGCTGAATCTCAAGATTTCGTCGCTTCTTATAGAATTTTTTTAAATTGATCATCAGGTGACTTTTTAAAACGGTAATTTGCTTTTAAATTTCGATCATTTCAATTTCCAATCTTTTTAGTTTTTTTTTACAAAAAAATATATAAATTAAAAGTGAGAAAAAAGTGCAAAATGAGGAACTGTTTGCTGCACTGTTTGCTTTTTTGGACTATTAAGTCTTTTCCCGAACAAAGTTCTCTCAGTTTCTAGTTTCTTTTATGCCTAACTATGGATGGTCGTTGCCTTGCGACTCCAGTAACGAAAGGCCTGCAGCCAATTTCTCAGCAAGAAAATATGGAGAAGAGGAGGGCGACAAAAGAATAAATAAAATACTACTGTCATTATGAGGGCAGACTCCAAAAAACCGAAAAACTGCAAAACCATCTATATAGAAGTGCCAGCTCAAAATTTTCAATAAGGATTTGTACCGATTGTCGCTTCACTAAATATTAGCTCAGGTAAACTCCTAAAAACTACCACGCAAATAAAGTCTCAGGTCTGCCTGGATTCTTTTATACCATACTTTATTGGGTGTTATGGATCTCCTACGCCTTTCAAACTTTGAAAGCGTTTGTTTTCTGAGCTGGTTTCGTCTAAAACCAGAGGCAACCTACTAGTTCCTGCTCGAAATAAATTTTCTTCATGCTCATCAAGTGCCGTTTCCTCGCTAAATTGAAAAACACGAGATAGAAAGTAGTGAAAGCAGGAGATTGAAAGATTGTTAGCTAGAGTAACTGACTTAAAAATTTAGTTGCAGGGGGAACCCTGATTTAGAAATCTAAACCATACCACAAAAAGGTGCTGTCTTCTTTAACAAATGAACAAGCCTCAAGTAGTCTGACAAGTACATTAAGGCTCAAAGCACTGTAGAGGGCAAAATAAAACAAAAAACTGATGCTGTCCGGCAAGGACTGGGCCTAATCAACGGAAGGAATCCGAAGCTGTTTGCTAACTCATTGAACCGAAAGCTCAAGTGACCCGTCAAAAAAGGACTTCAAGATTGTCTAAGACCAGTTACTAGGGAACCACAGCAACTGGTGGTTGCCAATAAGGTCTAATTAGCTTCCTTAAAAAAAAGAATTGAGGTCCCGAAGTGATGTTAAGTGAATCGGCTATATATGTGGCATGCAAATCCTACCGTAGTTCTTAGTTTGCAACTTCCCGCTGAATAGAGTCGGTAACAATACCAGTAAAAAACACTCAATTTACTGCCGAAGGCGCAGAGCGGACTACGAAAGACCTCTCCATCATTTGCACTTTTCTCAGCCGGAGTGAAAGCAAAAAAAGGTTGAAAACATTGCAGATTACAACAATAAAAAAAAAGTTATTATCACAAAGATAAACATCAAAATCTGTGTCATAGTGAAGCGTTTTTAACTGTACGACTGCAAGAGCGTGCTGGAAATGATAGTTCTTGATTCAGTATTAACTACAAACTTTTTTTTGCTCACTGAATGTTCAAGTCTAAAAGCTTCCTCTTAATTTGGAATTCAATGAAGCGAGAAGCTAGTTATCTCCAAACACTAAAGCAAAATCCCACATACAAATATCCAATGATTATTTAACGAAGTGAAAAAGATATAGAGAAAACACAAATATCACGTTTATTGGTTGCCAGAATTTACAGGATAATGCTAAAATCACAAAAATTAATTTGTACCCGTTATTATGAGAATCATAACAGTAGCTCACTGTCATCTCCAACCAGTAAAAAGCCGTCTGAAAAAATTTCACAATAAATTCTCAATCTCCTTCCCACCTTATCACATCAATTCAAATTTGTGCATTTAAGAAGTCCACCTAGAACTCACTAGCCGGTAAAATTTGTTGAGAGGACTAAAAAAATTTAAAGCCTCTAAAACCTGGTCGTTTCATGGTTACAGTTTTACGTGCCGACGTCTTCAATTCCAAACTGGCTCTACAACCCGCTATAGCGAAAATCAGACAAAACTTTGAAACCTTACTGCTGTAAGGCAGGATCAATGCTGGAAAAAACCTAACTTTTCTCCAAAATTATTCAAAACATTTTTTTCTACTTTGTACATCGCATCTGACACGTCTTTTGCTTACTTTCTTTTCTTATTAATGAATAAGGATGCCATTATGAAATTATGGCATGATCCGTTAGTTATTGACTTGCTTCCGTTTGGGGTCTAGATTGATTCCATGAGTATTTTTGCAAATCCAACCCGTTTATTTCCGGATGCACTGGTGCTATTTAGACAGTTCAGAGAATGTGCTGTCCTGCAAAACTCATGTCATTGACAGATAATACGTATTTTTTGGCTGAAACTGTCGACCTGTAACCGTTTTTAAGGCTATGAGTGGACTCTGATAGTTCTAGTTCCTTAATTTTTCTCTTTTAGTAACATAACTTTCTTTTGATTCGCTAAAAAACGCATTGCCCAACATCACCCGTAACTTAGAGGACGACGTCAGCTTCAAGCAACAACAGTAACTTTATAAGTAAAATATCCACTGTCGGTAACATATCCTATACTATTTTACACTCTTTATGCTGCAGTCTTTGTTCCTAACTAATCGCGGATGCTTTTATCATTTGTTAAGTAAAAGAAAGCTGCTTTACTTGATGGCTTAAATGACAAAATGTGATTACTAAGGATGTAAGCTAAGCATGAAACAACCCTCTAGTAGTCAACAAATACTAGCTTAAATACAGTCATATCTTACTGGAATCAATAATGATACCGCAACACAAATGATGCTAACAAAGAACATATTACTAATTGTTTACTTTATCAACAGTAAACAAGTCGTTACTTGTACACAAAACTGACGTCGTCTTTTTAAATTTACAAGTAAAAATATATATCACATTTTGCGGCACTGAAAAAGAACAGTCTGAGGTAAAAAACTGCTAAAAAGTACGCCGTGTCATAAAATACTACTAGTCAATCGTTTCAGTCAAAAAAAAATGTACTTCACTTCCAAGCAGCATAAATATTACCGAACAGTAAATTTTACCCAGCTGACATCGCCGCATCTCGGAATGAAGAAACTGGACTTACAAAAGAGCTCTTAAAACCAACCTAACTTTCATGCAAAAAAAAATTTAAGTGGACCTTAAAACATGCAGGAATTTCAAAAAAAAACGCTCTTATTCGTCACCAGCGAAAGAAAATAAATGCAAAAACGTACCAGACGTAATATCTAAAAAAGGAGCAGATAAATAACTTTAGAGAAGAATTTTATCTGTACAAAGCTAGTTTTGCTATGAAAAGTAATATGCAAAGTAACGAGTTGTTGAATCCCAGCCGCAGAATTCTTTTCCGCTGCAGCACATTGTAGAGCCAGTTCGAAAGTGAAAGCCCCAATGAGCAGGTTCATTAACGACGACATGCCTATTTTGGCGATTGCTTGTGCTGCGAAACATTTTCAATATTGGCTGTAACTTGCAAAAACTTTTCGGTCGTTCACTATATCAGTGTTTCTCAAACTTTTCTAAATCACCTCCCTCTTTTTCTTTCAGAAATAAACCTTAAAAAATACCTGACTGCTCTCAAACTTTGGTCCCTCACGGTAGTATTTTTACAACGGACAGACTAGACAATGAGTGCATTCCCAGCCAAAGTGAATACCTATACTGCTGCGTCATGATGCTTTAATAGAAGTAACAAACGCTAGTGCTATCATTAGAGCATTTCGACAGCAGTTACTACAACTCTTGATGATACGCTTTAAACTTCTGACTGTTCAATTGTCCACCCACAAAATCCGTCGCCTCCCTGTCTCCCTTTTTTCGTCCTAAAGGAGCCAACAGTGAGCAATTTGAAAAACACTGCATTACATCCTTTCTACTTTCTTTGCAATCTTGAAAGGTTCAGCCTGAGAGAACGCGTAACCATCTGAAAAATTAATTCAGATTACGACTACTCTCATTCCGGTGATGAGTCAGATCACGAAAAGACTTACGATCACGTGATGACGAGCCTTCGTTCCTGTTCTCTGCTTCTTCTAACAAATTGGAGTCTTCAAAAGAAGGACACCTACAAAAGACTAGAAGAGTTTGGAGAAAGAACAAAAAAAAAGATAAAGCGGAATCAGCTATATGACCAGCTGGAAGAAATGTGATACTGGAATAAAACTCTTAACTGCAATAAGATGTGTCAGTGCAATGGTAAGGAAGATAATAAAACTAATAATCGGGTAGACGCAGTTACTTAAAGACTGGAGCCAAAAAGATTTAGAAACAATTTGGTCGCAACGCATAGATATCGCTATAAAAATGCGCAAAATAAAGAAAAAAGTAGCAAACAAAATATTTTCCCCAAAGAAAACTACGACTTAAGTACATGCAACAAGTAAATGTAGCCTCCATGCATTGCTGTTGCACATCCACAAGGAAGCTCGCGATATATATTCAGTTAAATAAAGGTCATATAACAAAAAGAAACGTCACTGTCCCGCAATCCGAAATTCCAGAATTAAACAAACTTCCTCTAGTAAAGGAAGAAGAGTTCTCAGACATCCTACACGTGAAAGCTGGACAAAATAAACAGGACTTTGCTCAAAGCGAAAAAGCAGTTAAACTGGTAGGAGCATGCACGTAGAATAAGAGGCGAAAGCTGACGCGACGGTATATGTTCGGTACAAAATAATTACGTTACGTACTGATGAAGAGATCTCCATGGACTGGTTTCATAACTTGTTACTGAGGTTGCCATTGATTGGTACTGCGATGATTCGGAAGCGACCGTACCCAACTCCATAGCGCTTCCAGAGAATGCATTTGTGCTGTAAGCATTACCATTCACTTCGTACTGTTCACCAGGATCAGCGTTGCACAAAATACTAGAAATAACTAATTTGCAAAGACGTCAGTTGATGATAATCAAGAACGAAACAAACTATTGTTACTAATCACTTCCCCTTGCAAACCAGCATGCTCGGCTCTTTAATAGCTTTTGTTCAAATGCAGGGTCAAAAAAAAATTAAATCATAAGGTAGTAAAGCCTAGCAGTTACAACACTATCAAAATCACCGAAGTTCGACAGCTTTAACAACTTAACAGCAAAGCTTCACAATACAAGTGTACTTATAAATGCACTTCAAGCAAAACACTTGAAAATCTGTACGCGGATGACTAATGCAAAGAAACTGTGAGAAACTAAAACACATTTAATAAAAGAGAACTTAGATTTGCTACAAAGAAAATAAGGTTACTACACATGACCACAAAAAGTTACCAAAGTACGACGGAAGTAAAAAGGATGAATAATTGATCTGACAACCAAATGTAGAGATGTAATAACCTTATTCTAGCAAGAATAGTACAAATTTACCGCGAATTAAAAGGCCATGCTTGAAAAAAAGGAAAATAAAATGACCTGCCGCCATCCTACGCTAGCAAGGCACACTGTTAAGAGAAATAAAAATTCCACAATGGCTACCAGCTGCTCGGTGATGAACCTTCCTCTAGGCTTTCCTTAAAGGTTGAAAAAGTTGGTCTTAATTAGGAAATGTAAGAAGCACTAGTCATTTCACGTCAAGACACTTTTTCCAATCGGCATCTCAGACTGTTTTCTAGCCACAACAGTTGCAAAACAGACAACTGAACCAAAAATAAAAAAAATAAAAAACCCAAAGCTGGCACAACCTTTATCAAAATGAAAGAACTTTTCAGATTTCCGTGCGGATCTTCGTCACTTTCAAAGCAAATTTTTTAAATATAATTAAAGTTTGGTGCCATCAAACGCTCAAAAAATTTTGTGCCGTACCGATTGAAAAGAACAAATAATGGCTATAACCCACTGCAAAAATAATTAGAAAGCATTAAACAAGTAGGGGAACAAAGAGAATTTTCAAAAAGTCCTCTGTGAAGTAAAATAAAATTTTCCGAGCTCTTTCAGTTTGGTAGCCCCACCCTTTTTTCTTGCAGTCAAGCCAATAAATTCTGATCGTTTCATTAAAATTTTCATGGCTTTTTTCATCAAAACCAAAAGAAAGGCATGATCAGCAAACTGGAAGAGGAGCAAATTTTCTGCCCTCATTCCATAGTTTTGGAGCGGGCCGAACTTACGTTACTGAGGTGCCAACATAAACACCGGCCCAAGTATTAGTATGATCCAAAACGCGTGAAAAACAGCGCTTCCATCAAATCCCACCACATATTCAGTGCCTCAATATATGCCACTTAGCTAGAATCCCAGTCTCCGCAAAATTAGCATTACTCAAACCACTTTCTTACTCCCATACGATAACACCAATGATTTGCGGAAGATTACAAAAGTTTTAGTGCTTTCATAAATTTCAGATACTCTTCTGCATAGTGAGCAAAGGTCTGTGCAGGCGCAAACCACCACTGGTCTCATTCAGGAATGACAGCACTACCTACCACCAATTCAGATGGCTTCTCCCTTCACTGGTGAAGAGGAACAGCTACTAAGCCGTCGATTATTGCTTTGCAAAAAATAAGTTTAACCAATAGTTCATAAAACCATAACAGAATTTTGTAGACCATGGAGTCCGAGAGCAGACTGCAGAATTGCGAAATAAAAATATCAGTTCCGGGCATCACCATAAACACTTTAAAAAATATTTGGAGGAGTTAAGATCTTATCAAGTGAACATAAGCACCGGCCCAACTGCAAACTGTCGTAAACAAAGTAACTCTCCAACCCTAGATTTCTTTGAAATGTTGAACTCTTCACTTATCATACGCAAATGGGCGACAGTAAACTTTGTCTTTATTGTACGATTCAATCAGAGGTCAAAAGTAGATATTTCTTAGCGGAACCAAAGCTTAGGCTACTAATCCTTGCTTAAGAGTTTTGAATTCTGCCTTTAAACTGATTTAAAACTATAGTGAGAGAATATAGCACCTTCAGATTCGACGACAAGAGAAGAAAGTACCCATAAGATGAAATTACAATGTAAACACGCGATAGTAAAACCGAAGCAATGCCATTTGTAAGTAAAAAAATCTGTTCTTTTGAACCCTATGCGGTAAATTTAAAGAGTGGTTTCTGAAAAATTAGTAATCCTCAGAAATCTCATAATTTAAACACAGAAAATATTGAAGCAGGAGGAAAGCTTCTGTTAAAATACGATATTTTTCAAAAGTAGTCTCCAAAAGACATGATTATAGAAAGTGGACCCACCTGCAGGAGACTCGGTTATCATCCACCTCCATCATGCGAACACGCTTACACAACGTGGGAGTCAAAGTAAACTCAATACTAAAAAAAGAATTTTTGAATGCGACCTGATAAAATACTGAGTAGCGTTGGTGAGGCTAACAAGAGAAGTAAATCTTACGCTTTCCAACCGAAATCAACGGACAACGTCAAGACGGGGATCAAGACGCAAGCGAACCAAAAGCTCGCAGATGAGAACATTATGAAAGCCATCCCGTGCATATCAGCCCCTACCGGAAATCTTGGCCAAGCCTCAAAGAGGAATGATATTAAAAGACACAAATATTTTCAAAAAAGCGGAGTTCAATTTGTAAAAGGTTCATTGTGATCCCACTATCAAAAAAACTTACTAAAGCATAAAGAACAAGAAAAACCATCCACAGCACCATAGACCCAAAAGATGAGGCAACTAAGACTGCTGTCCAAGAATTGCATTCCAGTAGTGCTTTTAAGCAAACAGTTATAACAACAAACTGAAATTAATTTTAAAAAATTCAGTAAACAAAACAATCACAAATTAACGGCCTCACAGTATAACATGAATTCCCAAGCATCAACCATCCACCCGTACGTCCATGAGCCCATTCCACAGGATTACTCAGAAAAGTGAACGACAAGTAATACAGCGTTAATGAATGCCATACGGCCAAACCAATCCACTTAGCAAAACGCTAAAAAAAAAAAACAACGGATCTTATGCGTCGTGGTTCGGATACTGGCAGTGAAAGCTACTTGTGTAAAAGTATCATAAAAAACAATGATTTCTTTTAATGTTAAAATAAGGAAATGATTTCATTGCAAAACTTGAAATTTATTTATACTACCACTACAAAGAGATGACGTTTTGAATTAATTTCTGCCAACTTTAGCAGCGTTTAAAAGGTTTATAGGTATAAAAGAAGCTAAATTACAAATTAAAATAAATAACTTACACTAACTGTAAAGGACGTCTTTTGCAAGTTGTAATACAACATAGGATATTTAAACATAAGTTTTTCAGATACTGGCTTATCAAAAAGACCAAGCATAATTGGTGGGAAAGCCGTGAACATTACGTTAAACAAAGCAATAGTCCAGCGTTCAAAAACAGTTTGGCCAGAAAAGGCTGAAGAGAACGCAAACCACAACTCAATCAGATATAAGCAGATGTTTTTGTAAAAACTGTACAGTATAACCTAAAAAGACGTTTATACGTTAAACCGTGAGCTATGGCAACAATCTGTGAAAAAATGATCAAAAAGTTGGCGAAATATCCTCTAAATGAACCGATCAACTGTCAATAACAAGAAATCACACGAAAATTAAAAAATATCAAAAAATACCTTTGAGCTACGTTCAAAATTCCAAGCCCCATGTACAAATATTAGTCTTCTTAAAAACCGAAATTGAGCTATAGAATAGTCACTAGCAGAAGCGGCTTGTAGTCCTTCCTCGCCGGAAATCCCAATTCCAACGTTTGCTGCCTATAATCAAAAGAATTTTCGAAATATCTCCTTGTGATTAAGACAAAGTCAACGAAATAAAAAAGACCAAGTAAATTCGCTACACCTACTCGAATCATAGGAACATCATTGGCTCCATCACCGACAGCTAACACGACATTTGCACCATTACCTTGAGCCATTTCAACAACTTCTGCTTTCTGCATAGGAGTCATGCGGCAACAAATAACAGAACGGCAAAGAAGCGACAATTCTAATAACTGTTGACGGCAAAGGCCTCTCAAAGCATAATGCAGGCCCTAAAAAATTAGGTGAATTTAAAACATTCATCATACATCTCAAGAAAATATATTAACAAATAATGAAGTGGCTGAAACAAACTTCAGCTTTCTAGGTTAACATTCGGAAGAAATGATCATTATAACCTCTGACTTCAAAGCAATTCAAAAAACACAAAAACTGTACTCCCTTCAACTTGGTTACCTCAAAAAATACTTAAATCCCAGCTTCAATAGAACCCAGCAAAATGCTGCTTTTACCAACTTTCTCTGATTTTTTGAAAAATCTTTATACACAAACCGTGCCGTCAATAATTAGAGTGAACTCTTCCTTCTCTCGCCTCAGTAAAACTGCTTCCTCTATAAGTTCTCCAAGCCTTTTACCCGTATCAGCGAAGTTTTTTGTATTTAACTGCAGTTCAGTAGTTCGTTGAGTGCACAAACCACAAGAACGTGCGATATTAACTGCAGTTTCGCGCTTGTCACCCGTTAACATCCAAACACGTATCTCTGCACTCATTAATGAATAAATCGTTTGCAAAACTCCCTGAAAGTTAAAATGAATTACAGATAGAAAAAAATAATTGAAGATGCCCGTAACAATGAAAATGTGAGATACTCAAAGAAAAGTTTTTCTCTAAAGAAACTGTACTTGACAGAAGAAAAATGCTGCAGAATGAAATTGTCCCGTATAAAAGAAAAAAATGAAAAACAAGATACTTTGTGCATATCGTCCAAATTCTAATAACGTAGTTATAATATTAAAACTTTTTGTAACGGCATATTATGAACGACTGTAATCGTCCTAAAAAATAAAAATAACTTCTTGTAATTTGTCCTCTATAGCTGAAGCTCCTATTAAATGAAGACTGTTTTCAATACGTTCTGCGCAGTCAGCAACCATTTTTTCACGACCCTTCATGCTCACAGATGCCTCACGATATTCATTAGACCATTCATTGTAAAAATCCAAGTCCAGTTCCCGATACGCAAAACAAAGAGTCCGGTACCCCTTAAAATTAGTTGAACATACAGAACAGGTAAAAAATCCAAACAAATTCTTTGTCACATTTCTTCTTTCCAAATTGTTGCGTCACTCTAAGTACTGCAATCGAACTAATAAAAGATGTCTTCTTTTCTAATGTCTTTAAGCATGCCAGTGTGAGAAGCGATTTCTGCGCTAGTGCTACAATTACATCTGGGGCGGAAAAAATATTAATAGGGGTATCAGACTCTAAGAATAACTTAGAGGGATGCCGTGATAATAATTCTTTATTACTAGCAAAAAGGTAAACAAGAAAAAGAATTCCTAAACTACCTCATGCAAAATCGAGAATGGAAACAGTTAAGAGGTGAATTTGTGAGAATACATGGGAGCCCATACTACTCACGACAGAGAACCATAACACCTTTAAACTCCCTATCTGAACAAATCTAAATTACAAAACTGGTACCCCACACTTACAGTCACTTGATCTAACAAAACTGAAAATGGCGCGTAAAAACGGCTGAAAACTTCAAACTTCTCGGAAAGACAAAAAAGAATCACAGTGCAGGTCACGCCCTTCAAAAATGAGGAGTCCTCCCTGGTAAAATAATACAAAAACATATGGATCCTTCATAACATTCAATTCGAAAAACCGTGCGATCGAAGAGCACCGACCAAACAGTGATCCTAAAAAGCGCCTGCCCCCAAATGATCTAACAATCTCCTTAAGAAAAAACTAAAATGCGAACACAGCGTATCTGAAATAAGCTCCACTTTAAGAGTTTCTTCCATACAGTGAGAATTTTCCACCACTAAGAACAGATTCTCCAGAAAACAAGTACATAGCATAGTAGAGGTAAAAAAAATGTGCTAAAAAATATATTCCAAAAATTCTAGGGCAAGGTTGCTCAACATATTTGGAGCGAAGGGTAGTGGTTTTCAAAATACAGCTAACTTGCTGAAACCAAGACAAGAAAAATTAGAAAAAAGCACCCCAGTACCTTAAATAAAAATACAATGAATAGGAAACAGAAGCAGATTATTGACATCAATTTTTTGCAATGTTTCTAACTTTATCAGAGTCGTCATTTGATTACAAGTAGAGATATTTTTCAAGTAGACTTGATGCAGTGAAGATTTAAGAGGCGAAAGCAACAATTATTTTACGAACTGCGAAGAATGAATTTTAGACAAAGTGCCAAACAATATTCCAACATTAAAAAAAAAAAATCATTTTTTTGTCCCACCTTTTTCGCGTATTCCGTTAAATGTGACATGCATTCATTCTGAAACTTCGAGTCAGAATGTAGACGATCATAAATCACAGAATCCTAAAAACAAAAACAGAATGCCGCAAAGAGATGTGATTCTGATAAGTTTTTTAAAGCTTGGACTAGAACAGTAAGAAAAGCACAGTACCGCTCCTTTTGTAAACAGTTTTATACGTCCATCAGGAAAGCGAACAATAACACTCATCCTTTTCCTGTCGCTTGTAAACTCGAGGACATTTAGAACCGTGTATCTCACTTCTTTCCCATTCTAAAAAACCTTTTTTAAAATAATGCAGAAAAGTGTCGAAATGTCGACCAATTAACAGAAATTTAGGAACAACTCATGCATGTGGAACCTCGTTGATGATGACCGAGTCCGGTTCTCTCGTATGAAAAATAAACCCTAAGGACTTGGCTCCGCGAACTAAAGCACCTTCATCTGGAGACGATGCTTGATAAACCAACTGTTCATCCTCTGTTTTTTCAGGAACAACAGTATGACACACTGCCAACATACGTAGAAATTCTGTCACGTAGTTTGACAGCTAAAAATCAAATAATAATTATACTTTATCAGTGAGAAAAAACCTAATATAGACGTCAACCAGTAGATTTCAATAGAGCATTTACTGTGAATATTCACAAATCCCCGGCAGTAAGAGTTTGGGCCAGGTAAAAGCAGTGGAACATGCTTGCACTACTGGACAAACAGAATTCAAAGCTATCCAAAAGTTTTGTTCTGCACCAGAAAAAACACACAGTTGAAAGGTTAATTAACAAAAACACTAAAGCTTTTAAACATTTCTGAATGTAACAGATAAGAAAAGAAAAGATACAGGTGTTTTTAAACGTACATGAGAATTTTTTAGATCTTTTAGAAGCGCACTCCCATCAAATTCGTCAGTTTCGTCATCACCATAATTAACACCCGCAATAGAACATCTTTTGAATTTCATCACATTTCGCGTCAAAGTCCCAGTTTTGTCGCACATTACGAACTTCACCTGAAGTTTAAAAAATTAAACGAAAAACACTAGGAACAAATTATAAAACCCAGAAAGGCTCCACAGACAAAGGTCTTTGGAAATGGGCTGAAAAATCTCATAATCACTACCCGTTACAGTAAGAAAGCTCATAAACGGTTTAAAAAAAAAACAGGCCTGCCCTAATTCCTCATTCAGATTTGAGGTTCGCGCCGCTGCAGCAGTATCTGACAGTTCATCATACATTTTTACATCCTGCAAAGGATCAAAAGACGCAGTAAATGGGCACGCAAATTTTGAAATCCAAATGCAATGAAAATAAGAACATTAAAAATTTATTCGTCAGCAGACTTACATTATTAATGTAGGCAGCTTGGAAAAACCGCACCATTTCAAGAGTGACTTGCAAAGATATCGGTATTAAATTATTATACAGAATAAAAAACGTAAGAACGCTATAAAAGAATGACGTCGCCGATCCTAAAACAACAGCACTTTAATGTAGAACTAATCCGCAAACACTGAATAAATTAAACCTTTCCGCGCGAACAAAATGTGCTAAAAATGAGAAAATGAATAAAAAGCTAAAAATAACTAAACAATAATTCTGCACTTCAAACAGTTACAGACGGTCAAGATCTCAAGTAGCAGCTAAACCTTTTTATACACAGCAAAGCAAAAAAAAAAAAAGTAATTTTTCAAAAACAGCAGTTTTTTTCAGAATTGTTAATAACAATATAATGAAACTAAAAGAAAAAATGAAGAATGGCAACCTGAAAAACCAAGGTAATACGAATTCACAAGGAGCGAAGTATCATAGAAGTAAGCCCCCGTAGCGCTAATTAGAGCAAGCATCACCAGAGCACCAAAAAGAATTAAGATTCGTCGATTTGTCACAATGTCAACATTAGATCTTGAAAAAATTTCAGTATATAAAATTTATTCACGAGCGAACTCTGTGAATTAATGATTCTAGAAGAATTAGAAACAGTAAACCGTACTGTTTAAGCGGTGCTGCCTTCGAATTCATTAATAACTTTGCTTCGTGTCCAGTATAAAGCGCTATACCACATATCCACTTCGTATTTTTCAAACGAGCGCCCCGAAGTAAAATTTGTCCAGCAGCTGCAAAAAATGAAAACATTCAGCAAAGTTATTAAATTTCAAAAAAAAATTTATATTCCATGTATGTCAATAATTTAAGAAATAAAATAGAATAAAAACTAAACTTTCAACGATAAACAAGAC